TGGGGGAAAAATTTAGGGTCGGCGCTTTTGGCTCTATATATAACTGTATATAGCCTGTAGCCGGGTGGTCTTCTGTGTTTTCTCTGTCTCCATTCCAACATATCGAACTTTATCTAGGAATCCATTTTGCCAGACCTGTTGGCTATGGTGTTAAATGTGGATAGTCAGTTCATTTCAGAAATTTGGGATTGTCGAGACATTGAGAACATTTTCGTTAAACGGTTTCTTTCGCTTCTCTGAGCTCGGTACATCGTTTATACCAGACCTGTTGGCTATCGTGGTAAATGTAGATATTTCATTTCAAGCTTTTAGGATTGTTTAGACTTTGAGAACATTTAACAGAACACAGTTTTTATGGGATACAATCACTAGTTTTTATTCTGAAAGCACGACGTTTCGACAAGTATCCTCTTATCCTCTTAATAAAAACTAGTGATTGTATCCCATAAAAACTGTGTTCTGTTAATGTGTTTCCCGGTCGCTAAATGCCACTAAAAGATTATTGAGAACATTTGCTTGGAACATTTTCTTTGGCCTCTTTGCTCTCGGTACGTCACAGTTACTGGTGGTGAAACAAGCCGTTCATTGCAGTAGAAGAAATTACCAGGTAGCAATGTAAATAGATAATTATCAATTTTGATTTTCTTGAAACAAATCAATCTCTCTTTACCTTGACTTGTTTACCACCAATCAGTGGATAACTCTTTGTCCGAAATCCTGACCCTTTTTAAATATACCGGGTATGTGTGTTAGCTTTTGGGGGATGTGAAACAAGCATAAATGGTTTATTGGCTTATAAGAAAGAGAATCTGTGTCGAGTTATTTTCGTATCCAAAGTAATAAGGGGAGAAAAAAAATTCTGGGTGCAAGGTATACATGTATAGATCCAAAGCAGTTGACTAATAAAAGTTAAGATATTTGATAACAAGTTTGTTTGTTGCCTTCATGCTGAACTCGAACATGCCGTTTATAATTATGCATACAAATTCGAAACATATGGGTGACGTCTTTGGCTGAGCATTTACTTTATATAAATAAGATTCAAAGTTGTAGAGAACATAAAGGTTTTGGCCTGATGGCCTCACCACGCGCGGCAACACCTTATTTCCTCAAACAGCTGTGTCGAAATATTCAGATTTTTCTTCCCCCCGATCCACTGTCAATAAATTGATATGTCAGGAATTGTGGAATATTCCACCGAAGATCAGATTTCGGTTCCATTGGTCAGGTCAATTATATTCTCTGTAGCGCTACAAGCACAAACCACGAAAAGGCCGGTGACAATCTGTCGGATAGTTCACCGCAGACCAATGGTTATTTTTTCGGTTACGGCAAAATGTAGACAAACAATCCTTAGTGTATGCGAGCCTTTACATTTAAACTACACATCCACATCAAGCCTTTTACTACGACATGTTTGAATTGAATAAAAGAATAAGTATAATATATAAAATACTTCGATTTTCCCCGTTGTTAATTTATTCTAGAAGTTACATTATAATAGATTTCACAAAATCGCTCGGGGGGGGGGGGGGGGGCACTTGCCGGTAAGATGATATGTCGTCGCATAATCTGCAGGATCGCCAGAAAAAAGTTCACGAAGGTGGGCCCAGGGAAAACCTCTTCAACGTTCTTAAAATGACGAAACATTAAAACATAACTCTTTATTTTGTCACATAATTGGAAGGAAAATTTTGGTGATCAACTCCCAAACAATAACCGCACAATCGGAAATTGAAATTGCGTTGCAAACGATTTTTTTCTGTAAAATCCGTCAGTTGACAAACAATTGTTTATAATAGCAAATGTTGATGCATGCCAACTTCGTTAGACCCCAAAATAGGGTTTCGAATAGGGTTTTCATAATTATTATATTGTTCGATTTATATAGCGCTTCATTACACGTGAAGTGTTTCTAAGCGCATATCACAAACATATACTTCAAACACACAGAAACAATCAAAATCAGGAGAACATAATTAAACACAGCTGCCTGTTAGGCGCTATTATTCAAAGGTTTATATCCAACAAATCAACCGGCTAATCTCTATATTGAACTCAGTCGAGGTATTACCTGATGAACACCTACACCAAGTAGAGTTCAAAAATAAAAAACGAAGTTTAAAAGAATCAGCTTCATTAACAAAAATTAAACAATCAAAAACTAAACAGATAAATCAAATTCAAACGAAACAAATAAAACAAAGAAAATGAAAAGAGCAGTTCATTACCATTCTACATTAACAAAATAAAGGAAAACAACTTATGAAATTTTTTTCAAAAAATAAGAGCAACTGATGTCAAGCCATATCTACTGTAGAATGTATTATTGGGTTATAAAAACGTCTATTTTAAGTTTCATCAAAAGCAGATAAAATCTATCTACACAACAATGTGGACATATATAACAATGAATGAGTAATATTTGCCTTGAAAACAAATTAATTGGCAATTTTGCTGATGTTTTTCAATCTAAATCAGAATATAAATTGGAATAAATTACCGTTCCTCCAACAATTCTACCCAATGGATACCATGCTCTATCATCAAACCAATTAAGAAAGTTATAATCACAAGTTTCCGTTATTTTCTGGTTCTATTTCTTCTAACTCTGCCCATGCTTCGAGATTGATCCGCTTTATCATTATTTTTTGTTATTTGATTCACAATATTTATGTAATGTAGATTTCTTTATCTAATTTGTCAATATTTGTTTAATGTTTTTGGTGTGTCGTCCCTTTAATCCTTTACTTTATATTATATATATGAAAGTCGATGACATCACGAAAAGGCAATTAATGGAAAACCATTTTATTAAAAAATACGTTCCTCGACTTAATAGTCAATAAGTAACAATTAGCCATTAACTTGATTAATTGTCTTAAATCTATCCCAGGATTATCTTCCACTCATTGTTCCTAATTTGTACCCATACAATAGTCCGGTGGCTTGAGGGGGGAATCGCCACCCGAGCTGTGAATTTATGCGACCAAGTTTCTCTAGACCAGTTTTTTGCGTAGATTCCGAATCTGGGTGGTGATCAGGCGTTTGAGGGGGCGTTTTAAAGATATGGGGGGGGGGGCGTTCAATGTCTGCAATTGGAAAAAGATGATCGTGTAATATATTAATAAAACATGTAATTTTGTGGACAGAAATCATTTGGTTCATAATTGAGCTTAAAAGTGGTTTCTTGTTAGCTTTTTCGTTCAATACCTAATTCGTCATTCAAAATATTAAATTATAATGGTACTTTTCAAGAGATCTGGAAATGTGCATAAAAACATTGTAAATCAGAGATATGTTTAGATATTAGTTTATTCTTAGTCTTCATCAGAAGAATCAAAATCAAAAGTTCAGAATATGAACGAGCTAAATATTTACTTTGTTGCTGACCAACAGCTGTTGATCAGCCAGCAAGAAGATATCTATTCCGCTCATATTATGTTGAAGACTATAAGAATAAACTAATATCTAAACATGTCTGTGATTCTCTGTGTTTTTATGTTCATTTCCAGATCTCTTGAATAGTACCATTATAATTTAATATTTTGAATGACGAAATTGGTACTCTTTTCAGGTCAATTTTAAACCAAGGGGTTTCTGTCCTAAAAAATATATTTTGCTCCCCCCACCCCCACATTTAAAAGTAATGTTTTTACCATGCTCTAAGAAAATCATCATTTAAATTAACGTGAACTCATTTTCCGCCAATTTTACCCCCACCCCTCTTCCACACACGCACACCTGCTACACCCACCCACCTCCCCACAAATCAAAACAATTGTCCAGGGGCATCATATACACTTCTTTAGAGATGGACAGTCCTAGAAATTTATGTTTGATTAATATATAACATGATCATCAATTATGTCAAGATAATGACATCCCCCTCCCCCCAATTGTAGACATTGGAACCCCTATATCGGCAGGTATCGACGGAATATCTTTGAGTCATGTTTTAGTGTTTTATTACTGCAAATTAGTATTCTGAAAGCGTGACTATCATTATTTTTGATGTGCCTGTGATTTGCCGAATTTTGTTCCTGTTTTAATGGTTTCCTTTCACATTTTATGTAAATATAAGGGACATAACTCTACTTGAATTAATTATTGTTCAAATACAGTTTTCCTTAAATATTATTTACCTCCTTTAATATGTTTGTAGATTTTTAGTGTCAAAATGTGGGAAATATACATTAACAATTTTTCAATAGGTTTTTGTAGTTGAAACGGGGGTTCTTTTATGATTTTAAAATGCTTTTCTAGTCTAAGCATACCAGTCCTTTATCTAAAAAAGACAGTTAATATATTTTGCTTGCGTTAACGCCTCTGTGGTTGTCTGCGATATCATCTCGGTGAAATCGGACGTAAAATACAACATCTCTGTGGAAGCGGACGTTAAATAAAGCTATTTGGTACAAAATATACGTTAATATGATTATTTTATCAATCCCTGTTATTGCAACAGAGTAAATTCAAAATTTTAGTTGGTTGTTCAGTCGAATTTCACATCTCTGGCAGCTTACTTCTTGAACTTAACGACGCCCTCAAAGCATCCTGAACTTATCCCAACAACCAAATTATATTATTTTCATAATTGATGTATAAATAAAGCTGTTTTGGAGATATTTTAGTGTGTATTTATTTCAAAGTTATTCAGTCTAGTGAGCGGGTACCAATACCAAGAACTTCTCACAACTGAAATCTGTCCTTAGTCTGATTAATCTTTCATTTAGAAATGTCATTTCTGGTTTTATTTTAATCTTAGAGTATAAAAGGAATAAACTTAGAAATGTAAGGGACTAATAGTTCCTGTAGTTAGCGTGACTAAGACTACAGTTCTTAGCTAGCCTAATAGCTTTGGTTCCCGGCAATCTGCGCATTGATTTTTTTATACCGCGGGTCTAAATCGGCCAGCGTTAGAGTTAAGGTGGACTATAATGGCTTAGTCGTGTTTCGCCCAGTTATTGCCGATCCGGTTATAGTTGTAGTTGTCATGCGACACATCAAGACAGGAGGTCTGCTCACACGAAGACAGTCGTTTTGAATACAATAAATATTTATAGACTTTACTTTTGTTGATTTTCGTATCTGAAACCTAAAAACTTTGTGTGGATATTGCCGCTTATTATCAGGTAAGTCTTTGAAGTCTTAGACATGGGAAACTTTCTCTGGACGTCAATTATGCTTTTATCACTCTTTACAGAGCCATCACCATTGTAGGGTTTGATTAACGGCATTGTTTCTTGAGCACGCATGTAAATGGAATTAGTCTGGGTGGAAGTTTTTGTCATTTATGATGGTAATGTCTTTCTAACGGATATCGATATCACTAACAAGAAAATAACCCAGAAAATTTTCTGAAAAGAAATCAGCAGCTAGATGTTTTGGTAAATGTGTGCTATTCTGGACGTATTAATAATAACTAATAAATGCTTATTCATATTTTAAAGTATATCAGTTTTACCTAGGCTGGACATATATTTATTAGTTAATTTAAATACAATATACGTTACTAAAGTAACTATATATTGATATTCTTTAAGAAGATTAATTCTTCAAATTTAAAGACACTGTCACATTGTTATTTTACTTATAGAAAGTCACATAAAATTGAACATTTAGGATAACATGCAGACCCTTTTTATTGCTTAAAATATGCATTATGTAAGACCTAAATATGCCTTTTGGGGGTCTTTTTGGGGCTTCAAGTGTTATTTAAATTTTTATTTAGGCTATAATAGTGGGTAAAACTCTGGCTCGCTAGCCTGTAGGTCGGATGTTGAATCCCTGCATTGCCCGAGATAGTTCATCCAAATTTTCCTGGATGGTTCCCTCTTGTCAGTGATGCAGGACGGAGGGCCTGACAAGGACAGCTGTATAGTCATTCGAATGGCACGAAAAACCGAGGTCCCGTGTACACATGGGCCTGCACGTAAAAAGATCCCTTGACAGTTGGAATTTGATATAAGAGTATGCCGTAGTGCCGCTGTCCGGGCAAAATTTCCCTCATAGCACACTGTATGGTATATGTCTGTCTTCATTATACCAGTTGGAGCAGAACAGTAGGACGTTAAACCCCATTTCATTTCATTTAGGCATTTATTCACAACTCGATAGATTTAGATGGATCAAAACACCAGCGAGATTTAAATTTTTATACGCCCACATTTTCATGTGGACATATATTGTCGTCGCCCCTGTCCGTCAGTCGTCCACAATTGTTTGTGAACAGTCTACAGGTCACAATTTTTATCCGATTTCAATGAAACTTGAAATATAGGTTTATCACCCTAAGATCTCGGTTCCTTTCGATATTGGCATCTATCAGACCGTAACTTCATGGATTATGGCCCCTGATTGTATGAAAAATCACGTTTTTGGCTTGTGAACACTGTAGAGGTCACAATTTTTATCCGATTTTGTTGAAACTTGAAATGTAAGTTTATAACCCAAAGATCTCGGTTCCTTTCGATATTCGCGCATATCGGACCGTAACTTACTGAATTATGGCCCCTGATTGTACGAAAAATCACGTTTTTAACTTGTGGACCCTATAGAGGTCATAATTTTTATCCGATTTAAAAAATGGTATTATTATATCACCGTTACACCCTAAGGATGACTGAGTTCAAATTTCGTGAAAATCGGCTCAAAACTGACAGACAAAATGGCCGCCCCTCGTTCTCAAATTGTGTAAAAATATGGTATATCAAGGTTGTGGACCCTATAGAGGTCACAATTTTTATCCGATTTTGTTGAAACTTGAAATGTAAGTTTATAACTCAAAGATCTTGGTTCCTTTCAATATTTGCGCATATCGAATTGTAATTTCCTGAATTATGGCCCTTGATTGTAGGAAAAATCACTTCCGTTTTAGCTTGTTTTCTATCCATCTCTCGAAAATGTGGGCGTATCCTGCCTGGCAGCCGCTGGTTTTATGATAAAATGGCTAATCTAGACACATTCAAAGAACAAGCTATAAGCCATGATATTGTTAGTATCAGACTTGAATCCGATCATCATCATTTGTATCTCAAACTGATTATACATGTATAACATTTAATTCAAAATACAAAATTAAAATATAAATGGTGAATAATCCTTCAGCTTGGATTCAATCTGATTTAAAAGAAGTCCAACATAGGATTATAGGTGGCACTGGCTTGTTTTAACCATAACCTTAGAAAAGACGTTCTGAATGTTGACAAATTTATGGTTATATGGGAAAACAATCATTGGTTTATTATACACAAGCACGACGTTTCGTTTCATGCTTGTGTATAATAAACCAGTGATAGTTTTCCCATATAATCATGTTAGTTCTGTTATGTCTCCAATCGCTAAATGCCACTAAAGGATTAATATATCATAACTTTGTAAATACTGATAGGAACTAAAGCATTTTTGACCTGATATTCCCTCTAGAGATTCGACGTTTACAGTGGCGTACTTTCGTGGGATTAGAAATCATTTATATAATGATTAGGGACTTTAATTCAATTTTCTGGGACTTTTTAAGACATACATTTAGGTTTGCTAACAAAATAGTGTTCAATTTATTTTTAATAGGGTTGAATTAGAGACACTTTGTAAAATGAAGAAGAGTATGTATAATATATGTCTATAATACTGTTCTAGGTCTAGAATACTTTTAATTTTGTTTGTCTGCTTAGACTAAGTATAGATAATCAGTTTGATTACTCTAAACTTTTCAAAAAGATAAATTAATGTAAATTAAATAATATGTGTCATCTATTTATTTTGGGTTTGCAGCGAGGGACATTTCCTAACTAATATCCAGACCATCTTTATAGTGTGAACATACCCCTTTAGGTTTACAGCGAGAGACATTTCCTAACTATAATATCCAGACCATCTTTATAGTTTGAACATACCCCTTTAGGTTTACAGCGAGAGACATTTCCTAACTAATATCCAGACCATCTTTATAGTGTGAACATACCCCTTTAGGTTTACAGCGAGAGACATTTCCTAACTAATATCCAGACCATCTTTATAGTGTGAACACACTCTTAGTGTTGTGATTAGTAATAATGATTTTATTTGAAACCTTCTGATTGATAATAATATTGTAAGAAAGTAAAGCGTTTGTATGTTCTCTTGCTGTAACAAAAGGGTGTGATATATAATTAGTAATAATGATGTATTACTTATATAAACTGTGTTGTGATGAGCTACAGTCAGGGTGTGACTATAATTACTAGTGACAAATAATCTCTACCAGTCTCATCAATACAGATTTATCTGACCTTTAATTACCTTCAGATGGCTTCATCAATAGAAGCCTTGACCAGTAATGGAGCTTTTACAAAATAAGAAATTGACACAATTACATGATTTTATTCTCTCAAATGGTTATATGAGAATTGTGGGGAAGATAGCGGATGTATGAGGATATTAATATACCAGTATATAGAATTTATATTTATAAAGAGAGGGATATACAGAGAGAGTGTTGGGACATTTTGTATTATTGGGACTAACTGTCTGTCCCAAGAATGAAATCAAGCTCAAAATTTGACAAAAGGCAATATAGACCGTTCAGCCCATTTAAACAATACCCAAAATATCATGGTCCAGACCTGATGATCTATAGCACACACATTAGGCCACTAGAGAGTAATTAATATGACAAATCAAAATACCAAAATGATTATGTATATCAATGGTGACCATAGAGGGTGGGAGTGGAGCGTTTACCCATTCATTTTTTACAAAGATAAACTTTTTATTTATTTTGGCTAGGTTTTAAAGCCTGTCTACCACTTAGATTCTAACATTGTTCTACTTTTCAATTAAGTATTTTCTGTCTAAAAATAAGGAATGTGTTTTTTTAGCTAAAACCATGGAATTATTTCATCACCACGACATATTTTGATGATAGAAGTGGTCTTTTTAGAAATAACTGTGATCCTAGAGAACCAACAGCTAAAAATGGAAAGGGTATAAAATCTGTGTTTCTGATAGAGAAGTGGTTTCAGACAAGTCTTTTACCCCTGTATTTGATTATCTCCCTTATATGAATATGAAAATAATAGACTTCAAGCATAATACTTAGCATCAACTTAATGTCAGTTTTGACAGAGATTTTTCATATTACAAACAGATTTCTAAGGTATTTAAATAGGAAAGATGAGGACTGTGATGTTATAATTTTGTGTATAATTGGAGATTGTACAACATATTTCTAAGGTATTTATATGTGTACACCTATAGAAATAGGAAAGACGAGGACTGTGATCTTGTAATGTTGTGTATAATTGGAGATTGGACTACAGATTTATTCGTCTGAAGGGTGTCTGATTTGATTCTTAATACAATTTACATATTGTTTATTTGCTCTGTGAAACCATTCTTATTAGAATGGCTGATTCCAATGCCTAGTAGAATTACTGAGGTAATACATATGATTAAAGGTAGATTTGGAATCTTATTTCAGTCTGTGGAATCGGTTATGGTGTAAGCAGACATTAAATACCAACCATCAAGCAAGTTTATCTCAACTACTGCTACCCATTAAAGTATGTTTCAAATAGAACCTTTCTCTGGTTGTGTCCAGACTAACACATTTCTCTGGTTGTGTCCAGACTCTCTGGTTTTGTCAAGGCTAACATTTTTCTCTGATTTTTGTCAAGACAAACACATTTATCTGGTTGTGTCCAAGACAAACATATTCTCTGATTTGTGTCCAGACTAACACATTTCTCAGGTAGATGCTATTATACATGTATTTCTTATAACATGCAAAATACTATAAGTAAACAGCCATACACCCTCTCAGACATCTGCTAACAAAAATAACAACTTTCAAGCATCATAGAAAAGTTTATTTTAAAGACTGAAAAGGTACAAATTATTTTTTGGGTGCACATGAATAAATAACAAGGACAACTACTGAATTCTAACTGCCTACCAGTTTCCAAAAATAATATTTTATGTATGGTGGATTATTTTCTTTTAATACACTATAAGGCCCATAAGCTCATTTACGTTATTCAGCATGGCTCTGTTTCACCGCCCCACCCTCATTTCACCACTAGATACATGTCTCTCCCGTCTCTGCCTAGAGATCTTACATTAGTCTGCAGGTTTTGATAAAAACAAGTGAATT